CAATGAAGTCTGAAGAGTCTACTGAAACTGAATCTGATTGGGAGTCAAAGAAGGATAAGTATGATTCAAAGAAGACTAAGAAAGATTCAAAGAAAGATGCCAAGAAACAGGATGCAAAGAAAGGCATAGAGTCTACTGATACAGAATCTGATGAATCTTCCAAGACAGACTCAAAGAAGCCTGAGACATTCGAAAGTTCAGATGCTGAATCTGAAGAGTCACTATATGAATTTGGGGCTAAAAAGAGAGTTGCTGATGAATCAGATGCCACATCTACTGATTCAAAGAAGGAAGCACTGGAACTAAAGAGAGAATTCAAAATGTCATCCAAAAAGACTACATTTAAAGAAAAAGAAAAAAAAACAGGTACAGGTAGAGTCCCTCCATCAAGAGAAAGACCACCACTACCTCCTTGTGAGCCTTTGCTACCATCACCCAAGATCAAACGTCTCTGTCAGTGCAAGATGCCTCCTGCACCTCTAAAACCAAGACATGCTCCTTTGGTATGTTTACTGTGTTTTTAGAAAAAAATCGACTAAAAATGAAAAATATTTTAAAAGGTTGAATTTATATTTTCCTTAAGAGTAGTTCAATTTTACTGGAATATTGACAAGTTAGGGACTAACAGATAAGAAAGAATAATTCAAAAGGACTCAAAAGAGTTGAAAAACAAATGTCAAAAAGTTAATAATATTTAGACTGAAACAGAGAATAGGCTTGTGACTGAAGAAAAATTTAAAATTATTTGTAAAGAGAATACAATTACAAGAGTGGTTAAATGTTCTTAAGAAGGAATAAAAGAATGAAAATTGACTCAAACTTCTATAGGGGCAGATTTTAATGAGATAGAAAGACATTTCCTAAGAAGTTGCTAAATATAGTAAAAACTCAACCAAAATCCAGACATAGTACAGTAAAAACATAACATACAAGGATTCAAATATGCAAATTAAATTATTTAATCTATAGCTGAACTAAACTTCTTTATAAGTCATCATTCTTACTGATAATCAGGGAAATAATTTAACTTGCCAGGGGTAACGAGATCCGTTCTGGTTTATAACAATCTCTTTCAGGTTAATTTGCTCTCTTTGAGAGTAAATGTTCTGTAAATTTAGTTTCTTTTCTTTTCTCCAGAGGATCTCCTCTTTCATTCCCCTTCCTCCAAAATCTGGCTATAAGGGGAAGCTTAGGTGGATATCTCAATTTGAATGTAGGGGCTCCTGTTCCCCATGTTCTCCACCCTTACTGGCTCTTTCTGATCTTTGGTTGTGACATAATTCATTTGCATGGTTTCTGGGCATCAACCTCTGTGTCCTCTGCTTTCACACAGTGTTTATTGTCAATTCTCAGCATGACAGGACTGATGCCCTGTGTTCTGCTAAATTCAGAGCTTCTGTAGATATTGCTGAGTCTTAACCTTGAGCTTCTCATGTTAATTAAATTCCTTCCTTCCCCCTCTTCCTCCCTGTTCTTTTAGGCTTATTTCTTCTCAAGGGGCTTCTACTTCCTCTTCTAATCTCATGGGGATCTCCCTTTACTTTTTATTCCAAGTTTTTTTTCTATCCTTGATTTATAATAAAATTTTATGTATATATATCCATTTTTCTCTTCATATATTTTTCTATTTTTATTTAGATATGTTTTTTTTCATTTCTGTCAGAAAGTCTGGACTTTAAGTCCAAAGCTGATTAATGACGTTATTGCTAAATGGTAAGTCTTAGGGGCTGAATCAATGGGTGAGTAGCCATTAGGGCAGCAAGCTTTACAAGAAATGAGAATGTATTGGTGGATAAATTTTAAGGCAAAGGAAAAGAAAGACCCCCAAGTAGCTGGATTATTTTCCATGAGAAGTGTTTATGAAAAAAATAAGTAAAATA